CAGGCAAACTAATGGAAATTAATGGTGATCTGCTTGAGTAACAGCTGAGTAGTCATCGCACAATACAGCATTTGGCTCCCTGATAGTAAAATTATCTCCAAGACTGCCAAAAGGGATGAGATAAGATACAGCAAGTGACGTAGAGGCCTGCAAATTTCATGTAGCAGTCTTTAGTTGTCTGACACCTGAAATTAAGAATTTGGAACCTGTATTTCTAAGATTTTCATATGAAAACTTCTGGAGGGTTAAGCAAAAGATCAAGGAACTGTGTAAAGCTAACCAATAGGGATCACAGGAGTAGAAGCCACTAAATGCGTCTTCTGCCTTGCCTCATCTTTCTGGGCACTTGACGCAGCTGGAGGAGCCACATTTCTCTACCTGGGATTGACAATAACCAGCTTTACAGTAGGAAGAACTGAGCAGACCTCACCATTTCCCTCAGAAATACGGTTGTGAAGAGACACATGGAATTAAACCATTTGCAGATCATTGCAGACTAATGGCTAGAGCATGTGCTTGGGAATAAGGAAGGGCTAGCTCTATTCCCTTATCACTCATGGGGATCATACTCTCTGCCTGGCATTCAGGCATTCCCTCTGCCTGAAGGGACTGTAGCTACAGTGCTGGTCTGCACAGAATTTGGGATTATAGAAGTGTGATGTACAGTTCACTCCTGACCCAAAGGCAGGAAATTAGGAACCTGGGGTAAAATGTCCATCTGGGAATGAGGGGACAATTTTAATACTTTCCCCTAGACTATCTGCATATTTGTCAATGCAGACAGGCCTGCAACCTCCTCCTTGTATCCAAATTCCCTAATTGCTCAGCAGCAAGGTCTGCTGGCTTGCCCATGTCTTGCCTGGTGCCTGTGCCCTGTTTCCCACTCCAGTGTTAATGCAGGCAGAGCAGGTTGGTGCTCTTCTGTACTGAGTGGCAAGCCCTTCCACCAGTTAAAAAAATCCTAGATACCCTGGGATGAGAGGTGGGTACACAGCTGCACAAGGTAGAAAAGAAGCCTTCTAAGGACCTTGCAACCAAACAAGGAGGTACAAAGTGAATTTTCAAAGTTTCTGGGGGGAATATAGTGACTGAGAAAGAGATTCTTTTGCGTCACACTTCTGTGCTTAGCCACAACCCCCACAAGTCATGTTTTGCAATGTTAAAGCCATTTCTTTCTCCAAAGATATGTCAGCACTATTGTGAAAGACTGCATTGCAGAATTATCAGAGCAGAATAATTAAATGTGAAGTTTTTTTCCAGTTCTTCCTCCAAAAAAAAAGCCTTTCTTTCTTATAGATTCTTTAGACCTCAGGGAAGAAATGTTGCTATACTGCTCTCTTTTGAATCTTCCTCTTATACCCTTCTTTCTGGCTAAATTTTACTCTCCTTGTTGGCCTTGAGCAAATGGCTGTTCAGGGAGAGCTGTCTCATGTTCTGGGTAGCCCAGTGGTAACTGTAATTGAAGTCCTGTTCAGTTTAAGACTACAGCCATAGAAATAGAGGCAGGGCCAAAAGAGATGTCATTACTAAATGGGATGCCATGCTCATCCTCAGATGAGTTTCAGGACTAATCCCCAGGTGTCAGTGATATTACTGTAATAGCTCAAGCAGGAGGAATATCTTAGCACATAATGAGCTATGCTACATTTATGAAGAAAGAAAGAACAATATTCTAGTTTTAAAAAACAGACAGTGATGTAATACGGAACTATTATAAGCAACAGAGGGTGAAGAATTAATACAATCATGGAAAAGTACTGGGCTTTAGCAGTGTGCTTATGATTACTCACTAAATAAGGATGTTTTAAAATTTAAATGTGTGAAGCACGTATCTTAATATCAAGCAAGGCCATTATTGGACTTAGGGAAAAAGGATAAATAGCATAGAAGCAGGAATCAGGACAGCACCTAAAACCTGCTCGGCAACTTCAATAAGTGAAACAAGTTTTGGGGTAGTTGTAAACTGTATTAAATGCCCATAATAATAATTCTTATGTTAGCTCCAGTGACCCCAAGAACTGTCAGTACATTATTTATAATTCCTTATTTATTGTAATAAGCATCATCTCAGGAAAAACTCATGCATACCTTGAAACATCTTCAATGAAGATTCATCTAAAATACCTATGCATAAAACAGCTTTCAAAGATTATAATTTATTGTCCTTCCATCTGTAATGGTAAAATGCATTCTACTTTAAAAGTGTGTAGCTGAAAACTTATTTCACAATAAGTGAAAAAGACCCAAAACCCAGAGCACTTGACTGTACTAGTTTGTACATCCCAGCTTGCCTGTCATATCAAACCTGAACATAGATTGCTGGAGATAAGGGCAGAGCCATGAAGATGCTGGTCTGTTCCTCCATCCAGAGGTTGACAAGGTCCATCTCTTGGGATTCCCTTTTATGAGATTCTTTCTGCCTTCATGTTTCTGCCTTGACCATTGACCAACACTTCATACCTGCGTGTACCTTTTCATTTCAATTCAGTCATCATCCTTGATCCAATACTGGTGCTAACTCAAGTGTGCTGTAGCATTACGGGCCATCCTTATGGTTAAAGCAGAGAAAAGCCACTTCTTAGTCTGGGGCTTTATATGTGGATTGTTAGTACATTGTTGTTCAACAATTGTTGTCACTGGAAAAGACTTCCGTGAGAGAGGAAGGAAAAAGAGGTGCTGAATTTTATGTAGCATGTCAGCCATTCCTGTGGCTAGACCTGGTGAGGAAAAGAAAGACTAGAAATATCAAGACTATGTAAGATTTAGCACGGGAAATACTTCTTACTCATTTACTTGTATGTAGGATCATACATACATTATGTGGCACTGTCATTACAGTTAATAGAGGGGAAAATAATGTATTAAATATTTTTATTTAAGTTTTCTTTTACTTTTAATTAGGAGCAATGGAACAGGAAACATTTTGAATAGCTCTTTCAGTATATAGTATATTCAGTATATAGTATATATTCAGTATATAGTAACAAAATTCACAAAATTTCACAAGGGTAAGATTTACCTCCAGCTATAGCTGTAACCCAACAGAGTGCTGCAAACACTCCCATCACAAAGTACAGGAAAACTAGACGTATCACAGGTAACTTGAATTTCATATTGATTTGCTTATGCTTTCTAGGTCACAGTATTGTGTGGATCTCTGTGCCATTTGTGGAAAGTGCTGTAGATTTTAAAACTGCAAAGTCCTTCCTTTGCCTGCTTTTTACTAAATCACTGTAGGTGGGGCAGAAATAATGTGTCCAGCAAGCATAATAGAGGCACCCACCAGACAGGCTTTACACCACACTACAGAACACTTTACAGTACAGTTGTATCTGTAGGAACATCATATGTGTGCTTCTATGTCTGCTCATTCCACAGCTGACCAAGACCCATTGTTTATATCTTCATGAATCTTTTTGACAGTTTGGAACCAACGCACACTGCAGTGAATAGTCTGGAGAAGATGCAGATAATTCCATGCATTTTGCTCTGATCTAGCTGTCCTATTTTGCTTCAATCTAGTTGTTTGCCATTGGTGATCAAATGCAAATATGTGGCCGATAGCATAATTACATATTATTTCTGTGTCATTTGCCTGTCCCATTACCTCTGGCAAGGCTCAGACTGTAATAAGACTACTTATTATTAGATGCAAATCCTCCAAGCCCTCTTTTCCATTACTTTGCGTTTTATGTAATCTCAATGGCACATGGCTTCAATGCTTTTATTTGGATCTGGTAGGAGATTACATCCACTTGGGTGACAATGAAGTACCACACCTTTATTACATTTTAAGATTATGTGTATCTGCTTTGACCATTTCAAGACGAGAAAAAGTGTTACAGTGCTGTAGCACAAGCGACTGTGTTGCTCACTACATATCAAGTAGATTAAGAGTCCAGGTCCGTGTGCCTTTTTCCCATTAAATTTCTGGGTTTCAGATATGCAAGGTGTTCACTGGGTTGTTTGGCCAAGTAGGAAACACCTCACTCTTTGTTTTTAGACTGTCTGAAAAATAAAGCTGTGTGACTGCTCACTGTCTTGTTGTGGTTGAAGGTGATCGGCAGGCATGTTGTGCAGACCATGCACCACTAGTTGTCCATGAGACATCAGAAGACACTGTTGTCTTGACAAAAGCTGTGTTTCTTACTCTAATGCAGAAGTTACATATTTTTATTAAACTAAAGATGATGTGTTGGTGCAAAGAACTTTCTTTGCTTGTACTCCCCAAACTGTGAAGCAGGATGGTGGTACATAGCAGCCCCTGGATATTTTTCCTAGAAAGGCCACATGGGTGTTGATTTAATTAAAAAATGGAAAACCAAAAAGCTGCTGATCCAGTTATTTCCAAGCCTGTGGAGTCATGGCCATGCTCTGCCTCTCTGCACAGCACTTTGTGCAGCTGAAGCTGTCATTCTTGACAGCCTGAGGGGTTACACTGCCCTGTGTCCATCCACAGCCCATACGAGCTAATCCCACAGTGTTGATCCCAGTTTCTCTTTTCCTGGCACACTTGCTTATTCACCTAGCTAGTGATTACCAAACCTGGCTTTCTCTAGTCCCATAAATAAGCCTTTTGAGCTGTCACTTATGCTTATCTGTGAACTGGATCTGTCTGGAGTTTTAGCTCATTTTAAAAATATGCAGATTCTTCAGAGGTCTGCAGCTGTATGTGTAGTTTAGAAGCAACTGAATCAGGACAACCAAGGTAGCCTCCGCTGGCAAAGACACGGAGTTTAACACAGATCTGCTGCTGGCGCCATGGTAACATGGGGCTGTACCGCACATCAGCTGAACTCACCACCAGAGATCCATGGAGGAGACCAAATCATAAGCATACAGGCCTCCAGTGAAATCAAGTATGAGTACACTCAAGGCTGGTGGTGAACACACACAGAGTCTACTTAAAGTGTAAGAAAATGCTTATATGTAAAGGCAAGGAATTTATCCTAACAGATAAAATCTAACACTGCTTTTTATTTTTGGTGTTTAATTCCCAGAAAGGTCAGCTACAGCGTGTCTCTCCAGGAGAACTCCACAATGAAAAAAACAACCCACAGTTGCTTTTTAGTGATCATCCTTCTACTTGTAAGTATGAGAAAACTGAACTGCTTATGATAAGTGACAAATTGTGGTGATGTTCAGAAAAATGATTACCAAGTTATATTTGTGATACTGCACTGCTGAAGGAATGAGTTCCCTTACTGATAAATTTCAAAATAAGGTTAATAATGTTTCTAAATAAGATATAACATTTTGGACTTGAAATCGTTTCTTTGTGAGACAGAACTGCAATCTGAAGAAGATAATGCATGTGATTTTTAATTTCTGTGTTGTATAGGCTGCAACATATCAGTCACATGGAAACTCATATGCTTGAAATCTTAACGTTGTTGTGTGGGACTTAGAGTGGCTTAAGTAATTGTGGAATTTCATTGTAGTTACCTTGCTATTAGGAAAGCAACTGAAATGGAAAATAACAGTATAAAGTTTAGTTAGTTCAAATGTTATTTTCAGCTGTTTAATACCAATATTACAGTTGTAATATTGCTATAATAATGTTGTAATAAGTTGTAATATTTCAATGTATGCAACATGGCTGAGTAACTTGTTCTAAATATACAGTAAATTCATTTTTACCTGGCTATTTCTTACGTAAGTTGAATGCTTTCTCTGGTGTCTACTTGTGAAACCTCAAGTTATTAGCAATCATTACAGGATTATAATTTCCTAATATTATATAAAAATATTTTATAAATAATTATATATAACTGAGGCCCAGAGCCCCAGTTATAGTATGGTCAGAATACGTATGAATGATGCTACTGGGAACAACCACCTCTTTATCTTGGTAAAGTGTGAGTAACTTGCATGCTGGATGCCACCTCATTGCCCCACTGCTTATCTCTGTGTTCCTGAAGATAACTTTGATTCTTATTCTTTTTGTGTTTTATTGGTTAGCTGCTCATGCCCCTCTGCTTCCCATCTTCTTTTCCAACACCTGAATGTGGAACATTTGTGTGTGTCTCCCCATCAACTCCTATCCTTTCTGGCTATAAGTTGTAGAAACAGGGCTAGAAGACACACTGGGGAACATTACAGACTGCTCTCCCTGATTTATTTGTTAGGCTGTTTCCTTTCTCTTGTCTCAGCCTAGCATAACTTGCCCACAATTCTGTTTGCCATATAAATTTATATGGATAAAAATGAGGGAAGGAAAGTAGAGAACACTAAGAGAATGATGGATATAAGAAGGTAAAAAGAAAAAGAATTTAATGAGGTTGTGGAGAAGAGAGAAGAACTGCAAAGAACACCCCACTTTGGTGAGATACTGAATTAATAGTTCAGGAATTGGACCCTCAACCAAAGAACAGCTGGAGAGCAGGATCAAAACCAGAGGAGAGTTCATGCATTTCTGCTAACTTGGTCTCAGAGGAATTTGTCCTGAATTAGTTAATGATTTGAGGAATCATCCCTGTGCTTGGCAGAAATCTTCTGCCTTGAGATATACTGAAATATTCTGGTATTTTTGACCTTGTGTGGCTGTTCCACATACCCCTGCAAGGGATGCACGTAACAATGCACTGGCTGGGAAATCACCCATTGTCAGAGATCTCTCTAATAAAACAGCCTAACAGAGACCAACTTCCTTCTGGGATTGAATACCAGCACAGCCTGTTATCAGCACAGGCTGACAGGGGCCTTGGCAAAGAACAGCGATTCTTCCTTTAACAAGCCAATAATGACTGAAGGAACAGTTCCAGATTCTTCCCCAGTCAAGTGTCAGGACTGTAAATATTCTCATAACTAAAATTTTCAACAGCATTTCTGAGTGTCTGAGGTGCTCTAACCTACAGCATGAATTTGTAGGTCAACCCTGAAGGACTGGGCTCATCCTTGCTCTGTTGACTGTAGATCTTTTAAACCTCTCACCCATGATAGCGTATGTTCAACGTTAGTTCTGTGCTCATTCCTGCAGTATTCCAGGACTAGGATTTCTTTAAGAAAATACAGAGATCTGCTTCCTTTCCTTTTAGATATATTTCCACCAGAGGGTTCTCCAACTTCTGACCTCAGTGGATGACTTACGTGTGGATTTCCTTACATTTTCACTGTTCTATTCTCTATATTCGTTCCTTCCCCACTGCAGTGGCCATATGGTGATCTACACCTAGATTAATTTATCTTCTGGTAAGGGAGAAGCAAGGGTCATAGAAGTAACCCATGAAGCAGTGCTGTTTCCTTGGTGACACTTACCAGCAGGCTGCTGTTAGATCAAATATGAAAAATACTTGGCATCAGTAATTTTTCCAGAAATTTCCCCACCTGTAGCTGGTAGAAATCGTTCATTTTTTACATTTTATTTGTGATCTGCAATGAGGAATGGGTGTCTTTCTTTCTCTTCCAAAAAGACTTTTTCCACTCTGTTGATTCTTCTAATCAGTCCTTGGTTCCCAGAGCTATGAGCTCCTAGGACTTACATGTCAGTCACTGTCTGAGGTTGAGGAAGATACAGTAATTAAAGTCATTTGTGACACAGGGGTGATCTCCCATTCCTGTTTTCTATCCACCCACAAAGATCCTCCAGATCTTTCTTCTTTGATGGCTTTGATGATCTACTGTCATCGTCTCATCTGTGTCCTCCACTCCCAGCTGGTGACTGCAAGCCGTTGCAAAGTAACACAACTTCCTGGTCCTTGCTTTCTCCTCTGGGCTCCATAGACACCTCCTTCCCCACAGTCTCTTTTAGACTTGTCACCAAGGGGTTTTGGTGCCTTCTGATAGAAACTCTCTCTCTCTTACGTATGCCATTTTTTACATAGAACAAATAGCACTTTACTCTTCTGTCTCTAGGTCCATAATGACTTGCCTTTGCTGAACAAAAACTAAAGCACCAATTGCTCCAAAACCTAATTTAGAAATAAAACTAACTCCTTGTCTTCCTTTTTGATGGCCTCCCTTGCTTTTAGATGCACAATAATGCATCGCCAGATAGTCCTCTACAATTCAAAGTTAATTCCAAAAATGTAACTTAATTATTTCTCAGTTCAATTTATTCCTGATGCTTTCTAGCTTTTTGTACTTATGAAGAGCCACAGAATGTATCTGAGATTTGTTTCCTCAAGTATGTGAGCCCCTGTGAGCTGGAGCAATTAGTTCATCTCCTCAGTGCACATTTGTCTCTACAAGAAAGATGGAGTGTCAGCACAGTGTACCCAGAGGCATCAAACTGCAGAGAGTGAAGAGGAAAGAAGCTTGGGTCTCTTTCCTGTGTGGCTGATCAATTTTGAAGGACATTAAGAAAAGACAGTTCTATTCTCTGCACGACTTTGTCAAGTAAGGATTGACATGTAGTGCCTACAAATGGTAGCTCAGTCTTCTGTAAATGAGGATTGATGCATGTAGGTTTTTTGTACAGATTACAATTTTGTTGTCCTGAGCCAACCACAAAGTGAACAGTAAGGACAAAATGGATGATACAGTTAAAGACTACACTATTAATCAATTCGGTCCGTTAGACCAAGATTGCATTTAAAATAAATTAATTTTGAGTAAAAAAACATTTTTTACGAGTTCATGAAGTCCAAGTCTATCAAATTTTTACCAAGCCTCAGTCACTAAGCTATGCAGAGTCTGGTACACTGTGTCAGCTCCTGAAAGGCTTGTGAATAAGTTTCATTCACAAAACATGAAAAATTAATTATGTGAAAGCCTAAATTTAATTTTCCATAACTGCACAAACTGGCAATGTTTGGAACACTGCTGTGGAAGGTTCAAGTCTCCAGGAGTCAGTTAGTAGAACACTTGCCACCATGATGAGGGTACCACTTAAGGTGTACCCATTTGATCCTCACAGCTGGGAGTGTGATGCGTATGGTTGGCCATGTGGTCCTCTGGGCTTCTGCCACCTGCCCAGTGTAGTGCTTCTCACCATGAGTCTCAAAACTCATGTTTGTGCAAGCAATGTAAGTGCAAGCCTTTCCCTGCTTAGACAGCAGCTCTTCCAGCATCTGGTCCTGAGCAGATCCCACCCTTTGTGGGCCAGAAGAGCTGCTGAAGATCTGTCAAAGCCTCCTTTGGCATGTTTCATCAGAACCTTACTTGCTGCTTGGCGTGGCTAGCAGAGCCCAGGGGCTTCCCTAGACTTGGATGATGAAATCCCCCAGGTCTCATCACCTGAGAACATGCCTTTGAAAACTTGTTCTGAAGCCCCTTTGGATTATGGGTTGCCTCAAGCAGTAAGGAAGTGGACTTGCAAGTTCTGGAGCTCTTCTCACACAAGGAAAACTCAGAAAGCAATCTGCTGATGTTTTTAAGTTGTTAGAATTAATGTGAGAATTTGAGCCTCAAGCTGCCCATGATTTCCCAAATTGTGTTGCATTCACCCAGTTTAAGGGGTGATCAGGACGTCTTGTCTCCACTTTTGCTTTTTAAAAATGAGTGTTTCTATGCAGCTGATTGCCCTAAAGAGGCCCCACGCAAGACGATAATCAGAGCTGCAGGCAAAAATCCATGAAGCATTCTGTAGCCTTCCTTTAAGCTCTCAGTTTGCATCAGGCTACTCTGGGAGTAAAGGTTCCTCATGTGAGCAAATACTGCAGCAGTGGAAAAGAACCATAAGATTTGTGAGTTGCTTTTCATTACAAGTGCCTTGTCTTCATCTGCTGTGGCTCATAATCTCATGCTTGTTTAAACAGCTGCCAGAATCTACAATTTAAGCTGCATGGCATATCACTGTGGGATAATTTCCATCCTGCCTCAACAGCAGTTGAGTATGGGACAATTTCAACATTCAGTGGTTAAGTAAAACATGTCATGTTGAGGTATTTCCCCAAAGAAATTGCCTGCTGTTTTCCTAGCACATTTGTGATGAATAAGAAATATTGTTACGTTTACTGAGTATCATGCACTAATAACCTTCCTAAGGCATCACAGTCATTTTCTTCTCTGTCTTAACACTAGCAGCTGTGAAAAGTACTTCAAATGTAACTGAAGTATGAGAGGGTCTCTGCACCCAGTCTAAATGATGCTGAGCTCTCACTCAAAGATGTGATGTATTGAAGGGCAGGGGTTTAGTGACCCACAAA